TGAATACATATGTTTTGGTCAGATTTGCAAATATTTTCTATTTGTCTGTGCCCTGTCTTCTCATTTCTACAACAATGCATTTCAAAGAACAAAAGAGTTTAATATTAATGAAGTCTAGTTTATCAACTATCTTCTTTTACAAAAAAGGCTTTTGGTATTGATTCTAGAACTCTAACATGAGATGACACACAGAGATTTTCCTTAGTTTTCTCAAGCATAAGGCATTTTAAAATTTTACTTTTAGGTCTAGGATCAATTATGATTTAATTTTATATGACTATGAGACATTAGTTGAAGTTCAGTTTTCTTTTTTTCATAGACGTCTAATTGTTTCAAATATTAACACTTTTCATTCATTTTCCTTTATTCTTTTGTCAGAGGTCAGTGGCCTTCTCTGAGTCTGTCACCTTTTCTCTTCTTTTTCATGGATTTGTCTCTATCTTTGGAAACATTAAATTCCTGTGGATTTCTAAGAAACCTTTAAAGCAGGAGGGTGAGTCCTTATCTTTAACTCTTTTACAAATTGTTTTTAATTTATTTGTCTCAGGAAGGACAATCTAGAATCAGCATGTTGATATCAACAAGTGGGGGAGTCAAAGGAGATTATGTCAAAGCTCAGAGCATCTGAAGACATGTTAAGGACATGAATCTACAGTTGAATGCAGACTTAGAGAAGGATATGCTTATGTAACCATGGCTTAGCATTAGACACACACAAGTGAAGTCAGCATACAAGAATGTAAATATGTGATAACAACAAGTATAAAAATGCAACAATAAAAGATACATTGTTTTCTTGCTCTGCTCTGCTCCCTGCTGCCTGCTGTTGTTGCTGATGTCTGCATCTGCATGCTCTCTTTTGGGGCCTCATGTGTGAAAATACTCCTACAGCTCCCTTGACTCCAGCACAGCAAAACTCTGTAGAAATTCTAACTGGTGCTGTTCAGAACCTACAGATGGACCTGGAGGAGCCAAATGTGTTTTTTGTCCCACATGGGATACAGTGTGTGTCTCTGCTTGTTTAAGTCTCATTTGATTTCTTTTATTGTCTTTTCCTGAGCTACGCATTTTTTAAATTTTTTTTTCATATTTTTAGATAGATATCTAAATTGTCATTTTTATTCTAGTTTAAATCATACTTTGAAACAAATCATCAAATTTTCATTGTTTGTTGCAGTATATAAGAATACAGCAAGGTTTTGCTGCTGTTGTTATTTTCAGCTGCCATCCATTGGCCTGGCTGCATGACTTTATGGTCCCAGGAATCTTCCTGCTGATTCCTGGTGTTTCTGTATAATGGAGTGTGTACTATGTGTGGAACAGCACCTTAAATGTGCTCAGAGACAGCAGAGACAATACTGGCTCTTCCTCTCTGACACATGCACCTCTGTTTGTCTTCCCTGCTCTCACTGGGATGACTGCAGTGTCAGGCAGCACAGGATTGCTGAAGCAGATGCCTGCATCTCTGTTAGCTGAGGAAAGCACTGAGTCCTGGACCACTCACAGTGAAGTGGGCTGTTTCCTTGGACATGTTATACCAGACTAAAAAGTGATCATTCACCTGTATTTTGTTCATAGAGAACATGTCTAAAAATCAAGACCTCATGAGTTTTGTAAACTTTCTGTGTATCTTTTGATGTAATCATACTGTTTTCTCCTTCAGTCTTTTCAAATAGTGAATCATGTTGATGATAGCCAAATCAGTGGGGTTTTATTATTGACATAGTGGTGCATTCCTAAGATGAATCCAACTTGTCTCATCCTTTTGACCATCACTGTGTTTGGGTTGCTAATATTTTTTTGTTGATTTTGATGTCTAAATTTATTAGGGATATTGATTTGTCATTTTCTTTCCATGGTATGTTTTGGTCCTGGACAGCAAGGTGTGGCTGACCCCTTAGGATGAGTGGCCATGTGTTTTGTCTTCTGTTTTCTGAAAGAACTGTCCTGTATCTCTTCTTTGATTGCTTTGACAAAATGCATCAGTGGACAATCTAGACCTCAAGACTTTATTAGAATGATTTAAAATTGCTATAGGACATCAAGAAAGTGAGAAGAGATGCATAGAGTGGGAGAGTCTTGATAAATTATGTCTGATAAATGTTGATACCCAAAATCCATAAAGGAATTTTGAAATTCAACAGACAACAAAGAGCCCAGATAAAGCAGGTCAAAGAAGTGAACAGATAGTTGACCAAAGCAGACACACTGATGGCAAACAAGCCTAGGAACAGATGGTCAGCTCACACACCATTAGAGGCTTGTGATTGAGATTTTAAGTTTCTCCGTATCTCTTTGACTTTGCTTCATGCAATCTATTTCTTTCCTGTATTGCTCATTCAAGGAATTCATCATTTTTCTAATCTCCTCTATTTTTTTTAATCAATGTCTTCTTTAGAGGCAGTTATTAATTCATTTACTGCAGAGTTTTTTCAGATGAGCTTTCCTCCATATGTTTCTGTATTTGATTCTTTACTTCAGATGCTATGAATTCAGAGATTTCTTTTTTTATTTCAGAAATTCTGCTCTGAGTTCCTCTATAACTTTCTGCTGTTGTTTCTTTACTTCCAAAGCTATTAATTCATACATTTCAGCTGAGCTAGTGTCCTCTACACTTGTTCTGGGTGGGCTCGAGGCCTGAGATTGCTCCTTCTCTTTGTCTCAGTGCACCCTGGGGGTGGGGTCAGCATGGCAGGCCCAGGGATCAAACCCCAGCCCCTGCACCTGCTTGCAGGCACTTTAATCCGCTGAGCTATTTGGCCGTCCTTCTCTTTGTCATTTCGTGTAGCACTGACCTCTGACCTTTGGTGTAGAGCTTTGGTGCAGTTATAACCTTAGCATCTACAGAA